GAGAGAGAGAGAGAGAGAGAAAGAGAGAGAGAGGGAGAGAGAGAGAGGGGGGGGAGAGGGAAAAGTGGGTGGGGAGGGGGGCTTGGGGAATCAAAGATACAGATTGAAAAATGAGAGAGAAGACTGTAGGACAACTGGGACAAAGGTGTAATTTGTTGAAGGCAAGATTAGTGAGAGGGGAGGAGAAAGAGAGAAATGGGGGAGTTCGATAGATAGATAGATAGATAGATAGATAGATAGATAGATAGATAGATAGATAGATAGATAGATAGATAGATAGATAGATAGATAGGCAGGCAGGCAGGCAGGCAGGCAGGCAGACAGACAGATAGACAGATACTGAAATGGGGAAAGAACGAGACATCAATAGACAGACACAGTTGGAAATGGGCAGAGAGAACGAAAGAAAGAGAGAGAGAGAGAGAGAGAGAGAGAGAGAGAGAGAGAGAGAGAGAGAGAGAGAGAGAGAGGGAGGGGGAGAGAGAGCGAGAGAGAGAGAGAGAGAGACAGAGACAGAGAGAGAAATAGAGAGGTAGAATGAAAGAGAGAGACAGTGTGTGTATGTGTGTATCTGTATGTGTGTGTGTGTATGTATGTGTGCATGCAAGTGGGTTTAAATGTGTATATGTATGTGTGTATGAGTGTGTGTATGTGTGTTTGTGCGCTCGCGCACGTGTGTATATGTAGATATATATATATATATATATATATATATATATATATATATATATATATATATATATATAAGTGTGTGTGTGTGTGTGTATGAGTGTGTGTGTGTGTGTGTGTGTATGTGTGTGTGTGTGTGTGTGTGTGTGTGTGTGTCCATTTATTCTTTTTTTTATAGTAGAGGGTTTTACGGAGCTCGCAACTGCATAAGGCCATATGAGCGCGCGGTACACACCTAATACTTTTAGTTGGTAGGAATTTTAGAATTTTGCCCTGGTGGCGGCCGAAGCCTATTCTCATCGATTTTAGACCACCAGGGGATCTTTAACGTGCGCAACCTGCACACAGGCCCTCCGAGATTTTTCGCCCTTGTCCGAGAAGGCTAGGTGTAGATCTTCACTACTAGAAGATCAGGGGTGTGGCAGAAAGACAGCTGTAAGAAGGAGTCAAGGATTAGCATAAAGAGTCAGGAGCCCAGAGGAGGGGGCAAAGGAGATGAGGGGTGGGGGCAGAAGGAGTAGACGAAAGCAGACGACAGAATATTGCTAGAGAGCAGGAAAGGAGGTGAAAAGAGACAATTTTAGAGAAGAAAACTTTTCGGTCGCTACCCGGAATCGAACCCTCGACCTTTGAATGAGAGGCCAACACCTTAACCTCTAGGCCACAAGAGCCCCCTCCATTTTTTCGTCCACAAAAGAGAGACAGAATAAAAATAGGGAGAGGAACATACAGCGATAAAAACGAAAATGAAATGAGGTGGAGGAGTGAGAGACAGAGCGAGAGATAGAGAAAGGGAAGGATGTAAACACACATGGAGAGAGAGAGAGAGAGAGAGAGAGAGAGAGAGAGAGAGAGAGAGAGAGAGCGAGCATGGAAATGATCAGATGAAAAATAAAACAGCTCACCACTGAGGGCCAAATGCATGATGAAAAAGTTCATCCTTGACTTCCTCCTCTCTTTATTCACAGCGATGGCCGCCAGAACAACCACATTTCCGATGACGATCAGGAAAAACAGAACCACGAGAAATCCGATCTGAGCACCCTGAAACGATTTGTTAAAATATATTATATAATTATAGCGATAACATAGAGCCTTCTATATCCCCTGAAAGACGAGACAGCCCCTACATTATAAATTATGCTTCACCTGTCTAGAGTGACAGACTTTCTTTGTACTCCTGCAAAATGAGGATTGAAACGTCTTCTCATCTTGAAATCCTTGGGGTCTTCCCCTCTGATCAAAAGCTTCAACGACTATGTAACAAGCCCATTCGCTTGCAGGTATGTCCGACAGCTTTTCAACTGTTCCATGCTCAGAGGGCAATATTCTTCAGAAGACAAAAAATGAAAATCAGCTGTTCATTTTTCAAAAATTGTACCAAAACATATATTTTCTTGCTACATTAAACATTTACATTTCAAACCAAATAGCTCTGGAGAGCAGGGGACCCATGCCGTGTAGTAAGAAACTGCAATCAGTTGCTGATAAAAAAAAGTCTGGTCTGTTAATCTGTATGGCTGCTTATGGTACACCCTTTTACTACAATTGTCCAAGAAAGGCGAGCATTTTTAAGCTGGCTTCAGTGACAGTTCATTTTTAATTGCCGTTACGTCTTATTTTTTACTTTTTAAAAGGAAGTTTTATGTTCCCTCAATCTGCTCCTTCCCCTTTCTTCTCTCTC